AGGCCTAAAGCCTCAGTCTGTGGCTTGGAGCCGACATATGCAAATCAGCCGCCATCTTGGTTGTCAGTTAATTTGCATATACTCACTGATTAGCCAATGAAAAGGGTAGTGGTCATACGCTAATTACCATGTTTCTCTTTTATTAGTGTAGATAATTGACATTGAACATTGTGTAGGTGTAAGGTGTTCAATGTGTTGATTTGATACTTACATATTGCAATATGATTACCACATTAGCTAACAATTCTATCATGCCACATCATTATCATTGCTTTTTGTGGAGGGAACAATAAAGATCTTGTCTTTTAGCAACTTTGATGTTTATAATATTACTAATGGTCCAGTGCATGAAATTCGTGCATGAGGGTGTGTGTGTATCCCTCAGCCTGGCCTGCACCCTCTCCAATTTAGGATCCCTCTCACAATCTGGAACCGCTGGCTCCTAACTGCTCACCTACCTGCCTGCCTGATCATCCCTAACCATTCTGCCTGCCAGCCTGCTTGCCCCCAATCTCTCGCAATCTGGGACCACTGGCTCCTAACTGCTCACCTGCCTGCCTGCCTGATTGCCCCTAACCACTCTGCCTGCCGGCCTGCTCGCCCCAACTGCCCCCTCCCCCCCGTGTCGGCCTTCTTGCCCCATACTGTCCCCCCTTGCCGGCCTGATCGCTCCCACCCTCCCTGCCGGCCTGCTCACCCCCAACTGCCCCCACTGCCAGCCTGATTGTCCCCAATTGGCCGCCCCTCCCCCGCTGGCCTGATCACCTCCAACTGCCCTCCCCTCCTGGCCTGATCTCCCCTAACCGCCTCTGCCTTGGTCCCACCACCATGGCTTTGTCCAGAAGGATGCCCGGAAGGTCTCCCGGCCTAATTAGCATATTACCCTTTTATAAGTATAGATATTTAAAATACAGTCTCAGCACTCAAATATATATACACTGCTTTGTTGTTGTTAATCCTCAACTGAGAATATTTTTTTCTATTGCTTTTTAGAGAGAGTGGAAAGGAGGGGATGGTGAGAGAAAGACGAGAGAGACACATCCATTGGTTGTCTCCCACACTCTCCCAGACTGGTGCTGGGGACGGAACCTGGTACATGCTTTGATGGGACTCGAACCCAAGATGCTTTAGTGAACAGGCCAACACTCCAACCACTGAGTAATACTGGCCAGAGCTACCACTGCTTTTTTATCCACTTGTCTATTGATGTGCACTAGGGTTGCTTCCATGGGTTGGCTATTGTGCATAAAGCTGCAATGAGCATAGGGGTGCATTTTTCTTTCATATTAGTGTTTTGTGTTTCTTCCAGTCTATACACCGAAGTAGAATCTCCAGGCCATACGGCAGTTCTGTCTTTAATTTTTTAATGAACCTCCATACTGGTTTCCACAGTGGCTGCCCCAATCTGCATTGCCACCGATAATGCACAAGGGCTCCCTTTTCTCCACATCCTCCCCAACACGTGGGTAGTTGATTTGTTGATGGTAGCCATTCTGACAGGTCTGAGGTGATAGCTCATTGTGGCTTTAATTTTCATTTTTCTGGTGATTAGTTATGTTGAGCATCTTTTCATATGTCCTCTTTGGAGAAGTGTCTATTCAAGTCCTTTACTATTTTTTAATTGGATTCATTGGGGAGTTTTTGTGTGTGTGTGTTGATATATTTGAGTTCTTTATGAATTTTGGGTGTTAACCTCTTATCAGATGTATCATTGGTGAATATGTTCTCCCATTCAGTGGGTGCTCTTTTCCTTTGCTGATGGTTTTCTTTGCTGGGTAAAGACTTTTTAGTTTGACATAGTCCCATTTGTTCATTTTTTCTTTTGTTCCCCTTGCCCAAGAAGATATATTACAAAAAATATTACTAAGAGAAATCTTGAGGATTTTACTGCCTATGTTTTTCTTCTGGGAGTTTTATGGTTTTGAGACTTACATTTAAGTCTTTAATCCATTTTTAGTTTATTCTTGTGTGTGGTGGTATGGTTTCTTTTGAGGGGGTAGGGGCATGTTTCTTTCCAATTTTCCTAGCACCATTTATTGAATATATTGCCTTTACCCCATTGTACATTCTTGCCTCCTTTGTCAAATATTAATTTACCATAAAGTCATGGTTTTATTTTTGGAGTCGCTATATTCCATTGATCTATATGTGTCTTTTTATACCAGTACAATGTTTTTTAAAAATATATATATTTTTTTTATTGATTTGAGAGAGAGAAAGGAAGAGAGAGGGAGAGGGAGATAGAAACATTGATGAAAGGGAAACATCAACATCAATTGGCTGCCTCCTGCATGTGCCCTGCTGGGGACTGAGCCCGCAACCCGGGCATGTGCCCTGACACAGAATCGAACCAGTGACCTCTTGGTGCATGGGTCAATGCTCAACCAATGAGCCACACTGGCTGGACAATACCATGTTGTTTTGATTTCTATGGCCTTACAGTATAGTTTGTTATCAGGTAGCGTGATGCTTCAACTTTGTTCTTTTTTGTCGTGATTGCTATGATATTTAGAAACTTTTGAGGTTTTATATCAGAAATGTTATTTTCACCATTAATTTCAGGGAAAGAAGTTGTCAAATAAGAAAACCAAACAAATGACATGTGGTGAATGAACCTAAGTTCTGTGAGTCACGAGGGGTACACATTGATGCTAAGGCTTTTGGAGTGACCCAGGGGAAGAGAATTTCAGACACAAGAACTAACAGGAGCAAAGGCCCCATGGAAGAGAGAAAATGATCATATAGAACAGACATGGGCATTGAGCTTGGGTGAGGGAAGGAGGGGCAGTCGGAGACAGATCCCTCAGGATGAGGACCTGCTGGGGTCAGAATAGTGAGCAACTCTGAGAACCTGGTGGGTCCTGTGTCTGTTCTCAGCCCTTCATAGGCATCCAGCTTTTAATCATCTCAACTACCCCATGAGTTTAGGAATTACAGGGTCCCTGCTTTCCAGCTGGGGAAATGAGGCACTAACTGGCCCCAATTCACCTGGACCACGCTGGCAGCATCTGACAAAGTTGGGATTTGAATCCAGGATGTGTTTGGGCCCAGAGTGAAGCCCTGACTCCTGTGCTGTCCTGCTCAGGGCCTGATACCAGCACAGCAGCAGGCCTTGTCCCCCACAGCGACTCCGTCCTCTCTCTGACCCGACACTAATACTGTGCCTGCACCAAGCAGGCCTCTGTACCCATTTGCTCACTGCATGACTTACTGTTTCCAGTTTTCAGATGGGAAATGCAGGCTTACATTTGACAAGCCCGTGGTCACACAGCCCCGCCAGGTTCCAAATCAGCTGCTGACCCTGCAGTGCTCTGCACCCAGCCTCCCACTGGGGCTTCCAGGTGCTCGTGACCAAGACACTCAGCAGGAAACAAACTGGCCCAGGAGTCTGCCTCTTCCTCTCTGTTTCTCTCTCATCACTCACTCACAATCTGTATGCCTCTCCCTCTAATCACAGACATCAGGCATCAAAAGAATGACAAGAAAAAGAATAACAATAAGTGTTGGAAGCTGGGAGTGAGGGCAGGAGTGAGGGCAGGAGTGAGGGTCAAAGAGTGCTGGCTCAGAATAAGAAAATAGCCCATCACAGTGAGGCAGAGGCCCTCTCCCTCCTCTACTCTCCAGCCCCTCAGGGCAGCTTCTACCCTCCCCACCTCCCATAGGAGCTGCAGGTGCAGGAACCACAAGGTGGCTCTGGGGCTGGGTTGTCTACACCTCACAGAAAGGAATATCCACCTCCACATCCTCACCCCTTGCCCACTTGTTGAGAGAAGAACCCTGAGCCCAGAGTAGAGAGAGGATACTTAGGCTGACTGAGGAGACACTGATTGCTGTGGGCAGGGGGGGCTTTAGGAGCAGAGAGAAGTCCTATGTAATCATTTCTCAGCAAGTAACCACAGGAAATTCCGAAAGAACACATCTAACCTCACCAGATACTAGGAAATGTTTTCATGATTTAAAAACCATGCCACACACCCATTCTTCCTCATATCCTAGATTGTGGCCTTTTGGCCAGTGTTCCCAACTTCCAGGATGATGGCCAGGTTGTCCCTCATAAGCTGCAGAAAGTGATAGAGACAGAGACTGACTATTTAAAGATGCCAACAAGGAGAAAGATGGGGAGATGCAGGACTGGGATCCCCACTCAGGAGGGCCCCAACCACCAGAGTCCTTCCCTGCCATAATCCCCACTTCCTGTTGTCACCTGAGTGAGGTAGGGTCCTTACCTGGGATAGACCCTGGTGATGGGAGAGGTAGGGCACCGAGATGTCTTGCCCATAACCTTCAACTTTCATCAAACCTGGTCTGGGGGCCTGACGACTCAGGACAGCAGAGCTCAAGTCAGGGCCAGAATGTGCAGTTGGGGCCACAGAGGTGGGTCCGGTTGAAGGGCAGGATGGTGTCATTGTCACAGCATTGCTCCAAGGGGTTGTACATCTGGTGCCCACACCTGGGTGCTCGCTGGCACAGCCACAGGTCAGCGTTCATGTGGGCCCCTGGAGAGAAATTGCTGGTGACTTCAAGGAGAACCAGTCTCTATCTCCATGCCCTGAATCAGGGGCCTCTTTAAAAACACTTCCCAAGGGTAGCTTCATCCCTCTTCATTCTCCCCCACCCGACACTCACCTGTACCTGACTTTGAGCACTGGAGGAGGAGGAAGACTAATATGCAGATGAAACCTGGAGAAGAAGAAAGGACGGTTAAGGCTGAGGAAGGGATTGTGGACCTCATGGCGGGCAGGCCAGTGTGGGGAAGCCTAGTTTCACATTTGTTTTAAAGGTTTGGATTTGGGGTTATCTCTGCATAGGGTCTAGTTCCTGACACAGGTAGGAGTCCAGAAAGCTGGACCTGGGCAGCCTGGACCCTATAAAGGGAGAGAATGTGGGGGAAATTCTTTGAACCATAGCTTAGAATTCTAAGAATGCAGTGAAGTTTCCCAGTTGGGAGAAGGTCGGAACAGGTATTAAAGATATCAATAAAGTGACTTGGAAGGAGAAAGGAAGCTGAGGTTAGACAGCGGGGGGGTTGGGGGGGGTGGAATTTGGGTGCATGGTTGCTTTGGGGAATATAATTGGGTTTGAGTTGATCTTGGAGTTGGAGCTCTCCTGTATTTCAACTACTGGGCAACATGACTTCGGATAAAGTTTGAGAGATAAAGGACATGTTCAAAAGAATAGAACATAAATGTTTTTTTATAGATGCAATAATATGACTATAATATAGGAGAAAACATGATTATCTAAAATGATACAGAAAAAGCATTTGACAAAATCTACACTTTCATAATTTTAAAAAACCCAACAAAGACAAGCTATTAATGAAAGAGAACTTCCTCAGCCCAATAAAGGGTATCCACAATACAGCTCACAACGTATCACACTTAATGGTGAAAGACTGAATGCTCTCTCTTTAGCATTAAGAGCAGGACAAGTATGTCCACTCTCATCACTCTATTCAACATAGCACTGGATGTTTAAGCCAGATAAATTAGGCCAGAAAAGGAATAAAGTGCATTCAGATTGTAAAAGAAGTAAAACTATTTCTATTTGTAAATGACATGATCTTGTATATTAAAAATTCTAAGAAAGCTAACAACACCCTACATAACTAACTGACAAAGTCAGCAAGGTTGTGAGATACAAAATCAACATATAAAAATCAATTGTATACACTGCCAAAGACCATCTGAAAATGAAATTAAGAAAATAATTCTAGATCTTGGGTAGCTGTTATCCGCATCCAGAGATCAGCTACTAACCCGGAGGCAACGGCTCTCAAGCAGCGCGACTACATGAACTCAGAGGAGACCTGCTTCCCTCCACGGAAAGATTCAAGCAACAGCGGCCTCCTGATCTCCACATGCTCTGTCTGGGGAACAGTTACTGTGTGTGAAGCCTCCCTCCACCAGCCAGAAGAGCCACCACAGCTGTGAACAGCACCCACCAGAGGCCCTGCTATCAACGGAAGAGCCACTGCTACCACAACCGCCCAAGGAGCAACCACAGCCCGAGGAGCCACTGCCACCCAGGGAGCAGCCACTGAACAACTCAACAACTAGATATGTCAGTGAGATCAAACATGGGTAGACAAAGAAACCCCCAAAGGAAAGAAAAGGAGGACTCGCCAGAAAAGCAGCTAAGTGAGACAGAGGCATGCAACATGACGGAAAAAGAATTCAGAATAAGGGTCCTAGAGTACATGCACCGGTCGGAGGAAAAAATCAATACCATATGCAAGAAGCTAGAAGAAACAGATGAAAAAATCAACAACTTAAGTAAGGCCCAAGAAGAAAGGAAGAGTGATATAGCTGCCATAAAAAACTCCATTGAAAGTATCAACAGTAGACTAGGAGAAGCGGAGGACCGAATTAGTGAATTAGAAGACAAGGAAGCAAAACACACCCAAACTATACTGCAAATGGAGAAAAAAATTAAAAGACAGGAGGAGAGCCTAAGGGAGCTTTGGGACAACATGAAACGAAACAACATACGAATAATAGGGGTGCCAGAACAACAGAAAGATGAACATGGATTAGAAAACCTATTCGAAGAAATAATATCAGAAAACTTCCCTGAGGTGGGGAAGAAAAAAGTCACACAAGCCCAGAGAGTCCCAAACAAGGTGAATCCGAAAAGACCCACACCAAGACACATCATAATTACCATGGCAAATGTTCAGGACAAAGAGAGAATCTTACAGGCTGCAAGAGAGAGACGGAAAGTTACATACAAGGGATCTCCCATTAGATTATCAAATGATTTCTCAACAGAAACACATCAGGCCAGAAAAGAATGGACAGAAATCTACAAAGTGATGCAAAGCAAAGGACTGAATCCAAGAATACTCTATCCAGCAAGGCTATCATTCAAAATTGAAGGGGAAATAAGAAGCTTCACAGACAAAAAAAGGCTAAGGGAGTTTATCACCACCAAGCCAGCCATGCAAGAAATGCTAAAGGGACTGGTGTAAAAAGAAGAAATAACAAGCTCAGAAAGAAAACAGCCACACACACAAAAAAAGAAATGGCTACAAACAAGTACCTTTCAATAATAACTTTAAATGTAAACGGACTAAATGCTCCAACCAAAAGACATCGAGTGGCTGAATGGATAAAAAAACATGACCCATACATCTGCTGTCTACAAGAGACCCCCTCAGGCCGGCCTATGCCCTCTCGCAGTCCGGGACCCCTCAGGGGATGTCCACCTGCTGGCTTAGGCCCGCTTCGTGGGGCATTGGGCCTAGTAAGCTGGCAGTCAGACATCTCTCTGGCAGCTCAGGTGCCCTTGGGGGATGTCCACCTGCCAGCTTAGGCCCACTCCCCAGGGAGTCGGGCCTAAGCTGGCAGTGAGACATCCCTCTGGCAGCAGGGAGCAGGCCTAAGGCACAGTTGAATATCCTTAGCGCTGCCAAGGAGGTGGGAGAGGCTCCTGCCACCACCGCTGAGCTCGAAGCCATCAGCCCAGCTTGTGGCTGAGCGGAGCTCCCCGTGGAAGTGCACTGACCACTAGGGGTCAGCTTCTGCATTGAGCATCAGCCCCCTGGTGGCCAGTGTGCATCATAGCGATGGGTCGTTCCTGGTCATTCCGCCATTAGGGTCAATTTGCATATTACCCTTTTATTATATAGGCTATTTAATGAATGTCACATCTGATCAGAGAACACAAAATATTTTATGTAGTTAAGCACAGTCTTAGCAATAGCTCAAATGTGACTACTTTTGCCCAGGAGTGAAAATATATATATATTTGAGTCATTGAAAATGATTCATGGTAGAGAAACCATAAAATTAGTTACTTTGCCCTTTGAATTCAAAAGTTTAAAAATAGGTAACAATTCATTAAGAAATTATTTTTCTATGGTAACAAGGAGGATTCATACCAACCTCAGAATAGAGGTGGCCTCAAGGAAAGGAGAGGGAGGAATGGGATTAGAAAAAGAAAAAAAAGGAGGCATCAACTCTTTAATGCTTTATTTCTCAAAAAAAGTAAAGAGCATATAAGTATATATGGCTAAATGTTTTTATTTATTGAATCTGGCCAGTGAGTAGTTCATGGGTGTTTGTATTTTTTTAATGCACTTCTATACATGTTTGAGATATGCCCGGATTTTCTAAACACATAAAAGAAAAAATACAGCAGGGAAGAGAAAGAAATGATGTGTAATCATTCTGTTCCAGAACCTTAGGACATACATCACAGAAAACCTAAGACTTATATGTCCATAATATGACATGAAGGAAAAAGAGCTTACTGTGGCCCAGAGTTAATGTTGCTTGAACACAAAAATTAAGAAGTAATGCTGCGTACTCTTTTCCAAGAATAGGGAATATTAATGGAATTTGTAAGCTGAAATCATGGATATGATTTTATGTGCCAAAAGAAAAAGATAGAATTTTAAGTAATTGCCTCTTCATCTTCCAATTACCCACATTCTCTGAGTGGGACTACTTTTCATGTAGTCAATAAGGGCCTACTAAGATTCTTTGATGACTTTGGCTTCCTTCCTTCACTTCCTCCTAGACCTATCAATCATCAGATCTTAGCCATTCATGTTCTGCCTAATCACTTCCAGAATTAAATTTTGTACTAAAGCCCTGGCTGGTTTTGCTCAGTGGTTACAGCTTCAGGCCATGGACCGAAGGGTCGCAGGTTTGATTCCCCACACCATTCAATGTGTCTCCATCAATGTGCGCGCTCTCTCTCTCTCTCTCTCTCTCTCTCTCTCTCTCTCTCTCTCTTCCTCCTTCTCCCTTCCTTCCACACTCTCTCTAAAGAACAATGGGAACATATCCTTTGGTGAGAATTTAAAAAGAAATTGCCCACTAAGACCATACAAATCACTAAGTTTAAAGTCGGGGGTGTGTGTGTGTGTGTGTGTGTGTGTGTGTGTGTGTGTGTAAAGTGGGTAAAGAAATACAATGTAATGAATAGTTCTGGGAACAGTGGCTTACTGAGCATCCTTGGACCAAGTCTCAATTGTAAGTATGGCCTGCCACTCTGTCACCAACTCTCTAAAGCAAGGGTGGGGAATGTCTAGCCTGCAGGCTATATAAGGCCTGCGAACTCATTTGGTCAGGTCCTGCCAAGGCATTAGGGGTGAGTCAATCAAATGTTTGACCAAATATAACAGGCTAGGAGAACCAAGATGGTGACATAGGTAAACGCCAGTACTCTCCACCTCCCACAACCATATCAAAATTACAACTAAAATACAGAACAACCATCATTCAGAACCATCTGAAAGCTAGCTGAATGGAAGTACTACAACTAGAGAATTAAAGAAGAAAGCACACTGAGACAGGTAGGAGGGGTGGAGGTGCTGAAGGGGCTGGTCCAGTACCCACGTGGGCTGTTTTTATTAATCGGGAGGGAGATGGTCTCTGTGGAGGCCGCCTATGAGGAGCAAGGGGCCCCAGCCCCACACCAGACCCCCAGCCCAGGATTCCAGAGCTGGGAAGAGAAGTCCCTGAAACTTTGGGCTGTAAAAACCAGCAGGGATTGTGGCTGAGTGACACAGAGGCTGCTTGAGATGCAGCTGTTCCTTTTAAAGGGCCAGCGCACCACACCTCTGAGCTCCAGCACCAGGAGGCTCTGGGGAACCCAGACACATAGACAGAGGAACTGGACTGTCTGACATCAGGGCAAAAACTCAGAGGTGGCTTTCTCCCAGACAGGGG